TCTTCAATCAGCTTCTCCTTGGAGGCGATCATCGCCATGAGAGCGGCCAGCTCGGCATTCTGCCCGGCAATGTTCTTCTCAAACTCCTCCTCAATGTGCTCATCCACCTCGTCGTCCGTCTCGCCATTGTTCTCCTTGTCGTCATTGTTGTGCTCCTCAGCAGCGAGATGATGCTTTGCAGTCCTCTTCTCGACACTGCCCAGCATACTGAGCTTAGCCTTGCTCTGCTCAACCTCTTGCTTGCATCGGGAGACGATGTCATCGCTGCTCTCGAAGTTGGGGAACTGTTCAAAGTTGCTGATGATCGTCTCCGACTCCATCACCTTCGACCGGAGCTCGTTGATCTCCTTCAGGTAGCCCTTGATCAGGTGCTCGGCGCAGTCCTCGTTGCCGTCGCTGCCATTAGCCGCAGAGTTTCGAACTTGATTCATGGCAATCTGCTCCTGCAGCGTCACATTCTCCTCCGGCACCTCGTTCAGCCGCGTGCTCAGCGCCTTGATGCGAATGTTGGCGTTGTTCAGNTTCTCCAGGTGGACGTCATTCATCTCCAGCTCGCCGTCACTCTTCAGCAGCAACTTTCCTTGGCGGAGCTCCTTGTTCTGCTGCTCCAGCAGCATCACCTGCTTCCTCAGCTCGGTGATCAGCTGCGTCTGCGAGTCCTGGTTCGCCACCACCTTGTTCGCCACCACCTTGTTCTTGATGTTCTTCGCTCGGTTCGCGTAGCGCAGCGTGTTGAGCGTCTCCTTAGAGTCCAGGTCGCAGGGGGAGACGCAGGCGATCATCGTGGTGACGCTGTTCCCTCCGAGCGAGTCCTGCAGCACCCGGGTCAGCTTCGAGTTGCGGTAGGGAATGTGCGAGGCCTTCTTCGAGCGGTCGCCCAGCGCCGAGATGACGTTGCCCAGGTGGAGGAGGCCCGAGTTGGTGGAGATGCCCTCGCGGGCGCGCTCTCCCACGGCGCCGGTGCGGGCCATCCGCTCCGAGCCGGCCAGGTCAACAAAGTTGAACTTGGCGGTGAGGGTGATGAGCTCCTGTTCGGTGCTGGCTGCACTGTCCTCTGCATTCTCCAGTTTCACGCGATCCACGCGGCTTTGCTTGACAAAGAGCGTGAAGATGGCGTGCGATCGCGAGGACTCGGCGTTCATCAGCGTCGAGCCGGTGGTTCGGAAGAGGGAGCCGTTCTTCAGACAGGCCAGCGTCTCCTTCACCGACGACACTGGCTTATTCTTCACCCCGGTGAGGATGATGCCCCGCTTCAGGTCCTCCTGAATTCGAATG